GCTGCCGCACCCCCTATCGAGCCGAGGAACTTGGTTATAATCACGTCTAACCAGAACACATTGTCTGCTGTCACCCATCTCCGAAGTGGAGGTCTATTGTACATACACATATCAAAGGGCAGTCCTAGTCGGAAAAAGAGTTTTGGAGAGCAATTATTTCGTTGTCATTTTGAGATGGCAACGCTTCCAACAACCCCAAGTCCCCTTTCTATGAAGTTGCCACCACTGCACCCAAGCGCTCCCATTGTCGGCGTTACTTAGATTGTAGACAATGTCACACATACTACTCCCAACATCTCTAAAGCGATGATACGAAGAAGCGTACTTCTGGAACTCACATCAGACCACTGACTGAATGTGTTGATTCGACGAATGAATATGGAAATGCTTTATAAGTAGCGAGGAGATAATACATGTTCCGGCAAGTTGGGCTAAGAATTGTGTAGAAACAAACAAAAAACAATTCGTCTTGGGCTAAGAATTGAGTAGAAACAACAAAAAACATCTCGTCTTGGTCTTGAACAGCCTCATCTGTATCGCCTGTCGTCAGCTGAGGGAGAGGCCAGGAGAGCAAATTTCTTCGCGCTGCAAATGACCTGATCGAAAGAACCTGCCTCGATAGGGGGAGAAAGAGTCATTCTCACCTATAACAATTTTCTCAAAGAAATCTTAACACCAACCGAACGAACCACTAAGGATTTCTTTAACGTCTCTGCAAATCACACAAACCAGTGCACAAAATCGTATCTTTGCTCTTGATCTTCTAAACGTCTTGACGTAGGGAGGGGGGAAGAACCCTGTGATAAAGTGAGCCCCCATGTGGAAATAAAGCGATATTCTGATCAGTTGCTGGTATAGTTCAAAATTGCAGATTCCTCTTAACACTTACGTGTGAAAGGGAACTTTACACATTGCCCTTTAAGTCGGTCACTGCATGAAGGGGGCATCTCAAACACCTGGACTCCGCGCAGTCTTTGTGTAGTCAGCAAAATCAAGGAGATGGCCGCGTAGCCGAATGTTCTTTGTCTTCCTCACCACTCACTCGATGCGTTTAGATATCCTCCACGCTTCCTTCTGCTTAAGTCTTGGGATAGGTCGATCATCATGAAGTTGGTTTTGTTGAAAGTAAAAGTCGTGTCCGGAAAAAGTTCGCTTCCCACCAGCATCGTGTCCGCTAGGTTTAACACCAAACCGACCTCCAAAAAAGCGCTTCCAATTCTAACTGGAATTCATTCTGCTAAAGCGGAGGTAGTACAACGGTCGGCCGTCGAACCTCGCTTGTTCGTCATCGCATGCCAATATGCCTGTCGCTTTCGGGGGCGATAATGAAAAGTCTGGACAAAGCGCTCCAGTTTCGAAGGCATCCTCAGAAGCGATGAATATGGGAAACGATAGCTCCTTGGCATTTTGCGGTACCAAATGATAATCGGTGGTGAGGATTGGTGATCGGTCGCGATCTGCCATCGAAAATTCTTTTTGAAATCCTTCGGATCATGCGGCCGTTGTCAATTCATTGCTTGTTCGAAACTGTTGGGTGTTCTTCGCTCGAAAAGGTTGTAAGTAAAGAACACCATGCAGATGAAAGGATAGTTGCTGACGTGGGCTACACCTCCCCTCCCCTCACACAGCAACACAATCCCTCTGGATTTTTCCACATAGGCACGCCGCTTTTGGCACGTAGGCCTAAAGGAATGAGCCAGGGTCTGGACGGTAACTAAAAACGAGACGAAAACAATTTGATCTGACCAAATTCCATTGGTGTGTGGATCGGGCGCTGAGGTTAGCAGAGCCTACGTCTAAACCAGCAACTGTCAAGGAACGTTGTAGAATCATAATCATTGATTATTACTTGTAAAGTGATCATCGTTACTTACTATGTATGAAGAATTCATGCCTGTCATTCTGCCTGCTCATCTATTCCGGAATTGTTTCCCCCGTGGAAACAAGTGAAGAGTTTGGTCAAGGATATCTGGACCAACCGTGGGTGGGTCATGCTCCGAAGTGGGCGGTGCAGGGGAAGTACTTTTGATATGGTTTCCAACACGGAAAATCACGGAAAATGAGCAGAGGTGAGGAATGGGTTAGCAGAAACGAATGAGCAACACTTTCGGTGGGCGGGGCGTCCTCACGGTGGGCTGTACTTTTTCCATAAATTAGTAATTCAACTGCACATCAGCCCACAGGCCACATTTTAGGCCAGACCAAATGATTCAGACTCTGAAGCGTTCCTTGCTGTGATACAGAGATACTATGCGAAGCCCAACGAGTCATAAGAAAACGGTTCATAGTGTGAATCCAAAAGTAGCTAACATGAGCGTGTTTCTTACGTTGGCGACGACATTGTGATGAGAAAGGAATCCTCGTTAATTGCCAATTTTACTTATGTTTTTGAGCACTGGCTCACTTCCTCGAGGATGCGCGGAAGTGCTCAGAAGAACACTGGCTATGAAATGCTGAAGAACAAACAAGTTCTCATCATCCACGTTTCAATATTTCCTTATCGGAACGAAATAGGTATAAGGGTAGCGTCACTGAAGATGTTTCCAGCCCACGACCCGTCTTCCTATCTCTTCTCTACCTTTCCTTCCTTATATGCGAAAATTAGTTTAGGTGTACAAGTTTTCTAGGCAAATGAAACCCTTTCAAATTTCAAAGATCACATCTAACGAGGATGGAGGTGTGTTGAGCTATACCGTTTCAACTTACTTTTCTTTACCTTATAGAAGTGCTTCTTTCAACTTCCACATTACCGCATCGAGCTGAGTTTCGTGCTCTAAACCTTCGTCTGAGAGTACCGAAGCACTAGTTCCCTCTCCTTCCATTCCAATATGTGTGCCTCACAACCCAGTTTGATAAATGTGTAGAGGCAAATGGCACATTACCATACGCTCATGGCCCGGGGATCCGCTTCAAGGTCAGCTAACAATGAACCTTCCATCTCTCCACGGAATTTAACTGGAAGAATGCTCATTTTTGAGATAAAAGAGTGGTTTGTACTTCAACTGTCCTATGCCATTGTGTAGGCCACACATGTTTCAAGACCTCTTATGTTTCTGAATGGAAGACGAGTATAGTGCCGCACCCCACGTATGAACTCATTAATGCCAAAATTATCCTTATCCCTACAATTCCAATATTTTACCGATGTTAAATGTATCCCACATTTGTGTTCAATCAATGTGTTTAATATTTCACGCTAAATTTCCCCTTCTATAAAAGTTTTCGACGAGAATCTGCAATGCTACAGTACTAGAAAGACCTGGTAAGCCAACCTACTCTTCTGCACCCCAGCATCATGCATAGAGCGGATCATTGGCGTCAAATCAGTTGTTTCATGTGTAACCCGCATATGTAATATTTAATTTACGGTCAATCCGGTCAATTGCATTTTTGCTGCTTGCTGTATTTATCCATAATTCCGTAGCTTCTCTTTTGAGTCCTTTTTATTTCACTCGTTTTCACTGCAATGATTGGAACGACCTCAAGCTGGACGTTTCAGTCACTTTTCTCACTACAGCTATAATTGTGCGAGTGGTGTACGCTGTAACTTTATTGTTCATGCGCTATTGATCACAATTATTAGAAGGACAGTCGGTAGAGCTCTATTGAACCAGTATCGAAAACGTGAATTGAGCAAAAGATAAATAGCTCGAGGAATGGAAGAGCGGGGTGTGTTTGGTAATCGATAGAGCACTCATTAACAACTTGTCTTCATATCTTTTCTCGTATGGTTTAATGTGTGCCTATAGTTCTCTCAAACCTCATCGCTCTTTAGAAGTATTCTGCAATCTCCTCGATCTACCAAGTACACAGCGATCGCTTTATAAGCCATTGCACCCATTTTTGTTGTTATCAGGCTTTTCGAAACTCTCATTGGGCACATTCGTAGTACCTGGGTTTCTGCGCACATATTTGCGTTTTTACGCATATGTGTACGGGTCTCATGCTTGCTGCCGAAATCACATACATAAGTTTGCGGGCACCCGAACAGCCCTTTCAATGGTTAGTTTACGAAAATAAATGTCGAGCAAAGTGGTGGAGTAATAAGCTGAAAAATAATATCGAGTTTCTCAGACAATCTGTTGCTTCCTGTTCTACGTACGATTAGCTGAATAATTTGTAATATCTGTATTTGTCTGTATTATCTGTATCCAGCCAAAAACCTATGGAAAGTCCTTCGATTCTCTGCAATTTATAGACTGATCCAAACTTAGAATCGCGTGTTTTTCAGTAAGTGTGAAAAGTGCATTTCCCATCCTTGATCGATCTACCACTTAGGCATGATGCAAGAGAGATAGTTGCAAATAGCTTCCATTGTCGGTACGACTTTATCCATCTCTCATGAGCTATATATCCCATATAAAACTTTTGTCTGCTATTCCCTCGGCGGCTGCGTTCTCTTGTCTACGAAAGCGGTTTAAGTCGTCGTTCGATTAAATTACATCAATAAAGCGGTCGCAATCCAAATCTGAAATTTAGCAACACAACATCTCATCTGACCTTTAAAGAAAGCGATCTGTTCAATTTCTTATTCGTCAAAGTCGCCATTGCCCTTCCATCTGTTGGTTTCACTAAATATCCTACGATTTTGAAATTTCCCTTTTCTTTTACCGTAATTACATATGGAGCTCAGGAAGCAACCAAGTCAGACACAGGTCTATCACAAACTGATCGATATTTTGAACTTGCTCATTGCACATTAATGCCGTATATTTCACTCCTTCATCTAAACTGAAGTCCATATTAATTATATTCTTTGTGTGGGATGTTGTTCGAGACCATCGATTGACGGCCAGCAGCAGTGTGTGTATATGTGTGACTGACCTTTTCTATGCCTGCTTTCCTGACTATCCTTGACTTGGCTAGAAATAACTCCAATTTTACGAGTTATGCTCGACTTTACGCCTGTTGCGTGGCGTTCTGTTTCATTCATCATTTTCCAGGATCTGCTACGGTGAATCTCTGTCGAATCAACTTTCTCTTGTGCAGAATCAGGCTTAATGCTTGAACGTGATAATAATCATTTAGCTCCATCTAGTAATTTTGGTAGTTGCAATTATGAGGAAATCGAGGTATCCTCGAAATTTTAACTTTTTCACTATTTTAATAGTTTCTTTATTGATTGACTGTTCTCGTTTCAGTGCGACAACTTATCTACCAACGAAGCAGGCCCGAGTGACGCAGTCGAGCCCAAGTCAGCAATTGACGTTGCTCTTGAACTTATTGCCCAGGAAGAACTCGAAGCAATAAATGCGGCCAGAATGTATGTTTGCTTTTATTTTCATGCCTTTGGCTCCGTTTTTGTTGCACCAAGTGTTTGGAGGCTTATTGTTTTTGTTCGTTTTTCATTCGAAGTAGGGCTCAAACCTGTTCAGATTCTGTCTAACTTCTGCTTTTGCTTCCTCTAAAGCTGCTTTTATGAGAGATTCATGACGTTCCTATTGAATTTCCTACAGTCACACTTATAACCAGATAAAAGTCCATGTACATTTGCGACATCCACATCTACGGTTCGGGGTAGAATATTCGTTGTCTCAAAAACAGCCACCAGACCACCGTCAACCCCCTGCAGCTGAGTAACCATATGCACATTGAAATAATGCGTCTATGACTAGATTAGGGGAAATCTTTTGCCTTCAGCAGGAGGAGGTTCTTGTCCTCTTGATAGTAGAAAGCAATAAAACGCTATGTTATTCTTTCCTGACTATTTGAACCTCAATCTCTTAGCACCCTTCTAGATCTTTTTTTTTCAAAAAATGCTTCGTGAATCGAAACTATAGACTGAGGCGCCTAGCACGGGAGTAGAAATCATAAAAGTCGCTGTAAGATCTATTTCCATGGACTTACCCATCTCTTCTGACCTTTAGGTAAGCTCTGGATGAAAATGTGTTTTCATAGTTTCTTACGCTCTCCGTTGTCACCCATCAAGACTCGGAATTTTTCATCTCTACAACATTTGCTCATGTTTTGAATATCTGTATTTAGAAACGCTATCGGCTGAATATTTTTTGTTTTGCTCCGTATGGTTGCAGATTTGTTCATTGTCCTCATGCATACACTCTTTCATCGATATGATCGATTTTAGTGCCGCCTTGAATAAGCCAAAACCTCGTGGTCGCCCGCCTCTTTCTCGGAAAGCTGCCGAGTGAGTTGCTATATTAAACCATTATTCAACATTAAAGAATGCATTCGCTACATGTCACCAAAATCAGAGCCTGGCACATCGGGCGGTAAAATTTTGTTTTTGTCCTTCCGCATTCAAAGCACCTCTACGATTTTATTAGAAGTTGGATGCGAGAACACATTCCAAAAACGGGGCTGTTAAGCGCCAAAATACTATGTTTTTTATTATTTACATACATTTGGTTTTTTTATATATGCTATCGCGTTTACTTTTTCCTCACTTGACTGTTTTGTCTTACTTTTTATATATAGTTCATTTCACTCGATTTCCTAACAAACAAATCCTAGTTCCTAACAAAATGCCGAATTTGTATTTTAATGCGAACTACTTGAATATTCAATTAGACGTGTAATCTTCAAAGGAACTGACAAGGCTCAGGCATCAGAAATGAAAATTCTTATCAAAAATGTAGTGGTAAGCAATGAACTCATAGTGAGTCTCATCTGTTGCCGCACAGCGAGACGGCATTATTTCGATGAGGTTTCGAAATAGAGCAGACGTATTTCGTTCCTCTTCAAGTTGAGCAAGTTCCTGTTCATGGTTTCTGCTTAGCTGCTCAACATACCATCGACAACAATTTTTCTTTTTTTTTTTGTTCTGAACTTGTCGTGTTTTACATGGCGCTCATAAAATTGCTCAATTCCAAGGCATATCACCTCATAACCTGGAGCGAAGTGATGATTGAGGAAAAGGTGCTGCTTAAAAGAAACTGTTTTGACGAATGCTTTGGCCTTTACTGTGTCTAAGTGTCCTCGGATAGATGTAGGTATATAAATATTTATGTTATGCTATGCACATGCACATTAGGTTGCGGAATATTCAACAAAATCTCCATGTTGTGAGCCACTCGAAGCAAATTTATTGCTTAACTGTTGGTACATTTTTTGCTGGTATTCAACGCTAGAGCCGCGAGAATGCTCTCGCTAAGCCGTCTTTTCGCATCTTTTCGCACCGCAGTTAAAAGAAGCTCAAGAATGTATAACAAGTTCTGAAAGTGACAACACCTTGTTGTTCATCACACCGATTTGTGACTCTTCATTGAAGAAGAGTAACTCGTGAGATAGTTCATATTCGTGCCAAGGATCATCTGAATAGTATGGTCTCGTTTGAAGTTTTATATGCTCTGGGGTGGAGACAGTGAGCTATTTTGATGGCGACACAGTTCTGCTCAGAACAACTGAATGCCCCCTCTCCAGAGCTTATAAACTGCAATTTTTGAAGGCTTGGAGACCTAATTCGGTGGAGCATCCTCAACTTTGTAGTTAGTTGGATTATTGTGACATATACTTTTCGATTTCACCCTCACAATTTGTGTCGCGGCCTAGTTCGTCCTTCTAACTAAATTATATACATTGCCAATATTTAATTTTATTATGGCATACTTATTCAATCACACTCAGATCTGTGGTAACTTTAAAACTTCATTTCAGCAGAAATATTGATACATTTGTTTACTACCTTTTTAGAAATACTGCCACCCCCACAAAATCGAAGCCGGATTTACCAGAAAAGCAAATATCCATACAGCACAAAGAAGTTGAACCCTCGCAGGTAAGCTTTCGAACTTCGTATTCGTATTGATTTTCCTTTCCATGTTTTTAATTTTTTTCGCCTTTAAACTTATTATTCGTTGGTTTTTGATTTCTCCGTCTTTCTTTTTTATACTATTTTGAAATTCCATGTTGTCTTTTAACTTACACTCCTTATAGGTTGAATTTGACCTACATACATTGTTGAAACTTCTCCATTGGTTACCGGAAACGTTTCTTTTCTTTTTTTGTCGAATTCATTTGCAAGGCAGTGCTACAATATTTTTGAGCTGTAGGTACTTTAATCCATGCTGCAAAATCGAGAAATTATTTGTTGAAACGACGGAAACATCGGTTTGTAATAGTTGCTTCATCATGATATATGTGGTAGATGTTGACATGTTTACAATTCTCGTGTATACAAATGTCGTCGGCACCGCAGAGTGAGAGGGCAACATACTCGAATTGAACGCCTATAGTGGATCTGAATACGCTTGGTAGAACGCTTGAAGTGCGATTGTTTACCATTTCTTCCTGCAATGGCACGTCGCAGCTGCATGGACCAAAAACTTAGCTTGCGTAAGACATATGAGAACATGGGGAAGCTCATTTCGTAGGATTTTCGCATAAATTAGCTTGACTATGCATCTCTCACAGTATGGGCCGGATGAGTCTTCATAACGATCTGCTTTCCCCATAGATTCCTGCTGGACTTCACGCTCCTATATTAATCATGCTGCAGATGCAAGAGACCACAGTTTATATTCAGCTTCTCCCTATGTTATGACTTCCTCTTCTTTTTTTCTGCAAATGTTGATCGGATCTGCAAGGATGTATGAAGACTGTGATACTGGTCTCGTCCAAGAGCTGAGCCTAGGAATTTTTGGAGTTTGATTTTGAAGAGTCATTTTCGGTTTCTCGCGGAACATCAGAATGTGAATGAAAGCACTGAAGGCTTTGAAACGATAGAAGCCATCGCAAAGATGAATCATAGTGGCTCTTTTCGGAGTGAGTGGAAGTAGATTAATCGGACGAGACCCGAAATGAAATATGAGATGCCGTCTTGCCTTGAAACAAAGAATCGCATGCGTTCAAGACATGCATTCAGTCAGGGGGTCGCGTAGCTCCAATGCTCTTGACTTCAGGCTTATGCTTAACATGGTGGATTTCTCTTTCTATCATATATTAGGTCTCTAAATGCCAAAAGGGCATATTTATGTAAAGGGCTAACATCGAAAAATGATGGGTTTCAGTTCTCCTGTCCGTGTCAACGGTGCTCCGACATCAAGTGTATGTGTTTGTATAAGCAAAGTATTGGAACTGGCCATTACTCTTTCTCGCGTTCCGTTCCCGCGACATCCTCTACATTCTTCACTCCACATCATCTGTATTGGACGGCGAACGTCCGTTGCGCGCGTCCGACGAAAGTAGGTCACAACGCCTACTTCGCGCGCGTCGAAAGTAGGTCACCCCGCCTACTTCGCGCGCGGCGCACTCCGTTGTGGTCTCGAGATGACATTACAGTACCACCAAGTGCCAGTGGAGCGAATGATTTGCATTTGTCCGCGTTCTGTTCTCATTGGCTGACTGCCGTGGAACAAGCGCAAACCGTATGCCCCACTGATAACTGCAACGTCTGTCAAGTATCGCGGGCTGACCCGCCGCATGCGACTGCTGCGGCATGACCTACTTTTGACGGACGCGCGCAACGAAGCACACCCGTATTGGACCCATTGCAGCATGCTTTAAATCTCACAAACGCTCCTAAATGTGTAGAATTTACAGTACCGCTCAATGAATTAATTTTACGGAAGCGGAGTGGTGCGAAGAGTTGCTCAGTGATGCAAAAAATTCAAGAAGTTAGACAAACATGAAGTCAGGAGTTTTCACGGCAGGACCTACTTCATGTGCCATTTGTTGAACATTGGAAAGCGACGAACTGGCTTTATCAACACCAACAATGTGTGCTTTAACTCAGCACAATAAAAGCAGTAGAAAACAAACCAGAAACCAGTTCGATATGTTTGCTGGACCACTGCATGCTGCAGACGGTAATCGATATCGTCTTGATTTCGTTCGGTAGGAGAGAAATGGTATCATTGCTACCTAAGTTTTGTTTTTAAGGGCGCAGTTCAGGCTAACTCTGGAGTACCTGATTTGAAGGAAATAGTGGAAGCAATGGGTAGCACTGATCGAAGAAAGCGTGAAAATCAGCGATTTTGAAAAAAAATGTGTCTTCAAAAAAGTGGATTGTAGGAGATTGCTATCTGTAACCCTCTGCGTAGCGCCTACATAAACTACTCTCATGCTTCTAGATACCATTTTTATAGTGTTCATGTCCTTAAATAGTCCATAAAGCGATGGCACAATTGAATAAATTTAGAACAGCAAATTCCAATCGATCTGAAGGATTGGTCGTGCAGAAATTGGCGACCAGGGTGGCCGTAGTAGTCCCTGTTGAAGAACTAACATAGTGATTGATTTTTGCCATAGAGACTTTCCGCTGGGATCATTTTTCGGCCACTCGCACTCTTACTGTTACTATTCTTCTGGAGAGGTTTTCGAGTTTTCACGGCGATGTTCATTAGGTTTGAAGCAAAGTTAGATGGATGATCGTGTGAAATAGTTTTTCTTCACATTCTTTGCAAAGAACCCGATGAATGGTGCTTCAAAATTGAATGCTTGAACTTCTAAGCTACTGATACTTTAGTGATCTGACTAAAGTGCATGCTTAATGTCGTTGCTAACCTTCATAGCAGGTTTTCGTCGTACCTATCGTGTAAACGAACAGCCCAAACTTGTGATGTGTTGCTGCTCATTTTCCATATCTGCTCCCTGCAGGCATAAATCATGGAGGTCAGAAAATGTTATGAGTCAATCAAAAAATGAGTCATAATTAGAGCGAAAAACCAGGCGAACTCCCAAGACAAACAACCCAGTGGAAAGTTTTGTGGTAGGAAGCCGAGTAATGATGTTAGTATAAGCTCTAGGTGAGCGATAGAGTGACTTCAAGGCTTTAGGGTCCCAGTTGTGCGTTTTTCTTATTTAACAAGAGAATCCTCAAGTTGCGCAGGTGCAGTACACACGTATTGGACATAGCTCGAGCGCCTCTTTTGGCCATTCTGAGCTTATCTGAATATGCTCTGATTATATTTCCATTCCCTTATGTTTTTATGGTCCCTTTTCCCATGAAAGATGAAAGAAGAAGAAAAATATTCAGATCTTAATGCGTGGTTATGTTTCAGCTCGTCATAGTGATACTTTTGTTGCATTCTTTCAATTGTTTCAGAAAGCCGTTTCGAACACTCCCATCGTGAATGGAATGAATGGAATCGACCAGTCTTCTGCAAGTTTGCCTCTTCCAATTTTAAAAGACCACCTCGAAGTTGAAGCTGCCGCGCGAATTGAACCACAGTCTATGGAGGTTTCGTTGTTCGGAACAGACAATTGCGAACCTGAGACTACCAATTTCCACAAAATGGTCTTGCTCAACTATGGCAGTGTAGACGGTCGTCTAGAAGATGACGAAGATGAAGACGATGAAGAAGAGGAGAAAGATGTCAAGGATGCTGGCGGGCAGTGGAACAACTCTAAAGAATCGTCATTGCCCCGTAAGGAATCTCCACCAAAAAAAGGATCTCGAAAAAACGAAGAGATCTCGTCTGAGATCACTAATCATAACGAGTCGGCAACAACTGCCTCTGTGACGCCTTCAGATAGTAGTTTCCTTACGGTCAAGGATGTGAAGGATACCCCAACTAGTATGGAAACTGATGAAGTAGATAGGCCTGCTACTTCGTCATCTTCCAGAAAACGTCGCACACACGAGAAGTGAGTTCGTATTTCACGATTCTAACCGACTCCAATCCAATTTCTATGAGCAACTTTCAGGAAAAGCAGAGGGAGGCCCAGAAAAAGCAGAGACGCTCCCTCTCCAGTAAAGACAGGGTAAGAAAAGCTCTCTATTTCTCCCCAGTCTTCCATAAAACTTGAGATCATTTCAGAAGACCACGTGGACGTCCACGAAAGAATGGAAGCGATCCCGTACCAAGAGTTGAACGTAAATCAATTGAGAAGTAAGTTGGCCGAGTAATGGATATTTTGACTTTTTTTTTTTTTTTTTTTTTGCTTCGGCCTATTTTCTCAGTGCGATGGGAACATGCTGGAACGCCGAAGCAGTATTTTCAACTAGATTCATAGTTTTTTGAGCCACTATTGATCATTGTATTGAACCTTCCTATTGGTTCTACCAGCCGCTCACTAATTGGGCTATAAGTGTTACACGTGCGCAACTTGCAAACGACTATTTCGATGTTAGCCAGTGGGATTGGTCCGGTTATTTTTTTACCTTCCGCCCTTCACTTTTGCTGTATTTTCGCTGTCAATCGTGTTCTCATCTTCTAGGCTGCCTTGAATATTTATTATGAACTTTTGAATTTGGTCCGGCCTACTAAAATGCACAGTTTGCCTTTGTGGATATTTGTTCTCTTCCTTTCTAGCCTGAATTCATTTTCCCGATGCGTGTACGTTTATGTACAGTATCCTGAGTTGTTCTCTTGAGCTTATCACTATTCTTGTATGTAGGTTTTATTAGAGTGACGTTTCGACGGAGCCACCTCCGTAAAAGTCTGATGGCATCGTGAAAATTTGTGACTTTCCGGCCAAATTTCTCCATCACTACACCGAAGTTCGACGTGAGCCAAAGGAGTGCAGTTCACCGTAGCTTCGTGGATTCTTCGAAATCACCTAGCAAGCGACGGTAACAACCAATCAGGGTCGGATGGGGTTGGTCTCTGAACGAAATTTCTCTGCGAAGGCCAATTTTATATGAGGCCCTAGCTGCCGCGTGAATGTGAAGCATTCTTTCCCGCGTTTCGTTTCTGAATTTTCTGCCTGTATCCAAAATGCTTCAAAGGTTCTGCGCGCGAACAATGGCGGCTCTTGTGCCACGACCTCCACGATGACATCAAAAACGCCTCCGTTATGGTTTTGAATTCGGTGAATTCTACGAAGCAGTAAACTATCTTAATCTGATCATGCAATCTGAATGCTCCCTGTTCCTGTTTCCAGTCGGGTCACCCAGCATTAGCCGGGCGGCTCGACGGGTAAAAGGTATTAGTCTCTAAAGTAACGCTAAAATCGTCTCACTCGTCAAATTGGGGCGCAAAGTTATCCATTCACTATGAGTTGCTGAACGCAGTCTAGACTAGTAGATAGTCAGATCTGCCGCTCACTCCTATGAGCGCTAGCATTTGGTCAATGCGGTTAGAGGAAGACGTCCAAAATCATCGCTCAGGTGCCTCCGAACGACAGCTTGTGTCGAAATTAAGCTTTAGGGACCCTTTGGATCCGGGCATTCATCAGTCATGCTCTCGGTGCTGCTGCGCTTTTTAATAACCTTGTGCTCTGCTCTCTCAAGCATCCCTGTGGTAGAAAAGATCGCAACTTAATATCAGACAACGGCAGTCAAGTATTTCTATCACCACATCTTCCTGACCTCTGGAGAAAGGGAAAGGGAAAGCTGTCCCAGTGATCCTTTGGCCAAAGTTGAGAGCAAACGGTTACACAGTGGGTCTCAAAAAAAAAACGAATTCGCTTAGGATATCGTCAAGAATTAGCTCGGTAGCCTGCTTAGTTGTCTCCTTTTATTATGAAATTTTTTTATACTCTAGTTACCTGGGCGGAGGTTGTGTAGTGGCAAGTGGCGCACTTCACACACGCATGGTCACGAGTTCGAATCCCGGATGGTTATCCGCCTAGGCTAAGCGAGCCTCCCATCCCTCCGGGGTCGGCTAATTGGTACCAGACCCGTCTCGGAGGATGAAAGCACAGACTTGTACGTTGGCTGGCCACCGCAAGTCATTGTATGTATAGGCCACATACGCATTCAATCACCACTACGATTCTGAATGGAAGTCGAATGCGTGGGCGCATCCTTCAGACGGGCTTGATTAATACCCCAAGACTTTATCTTTTATCCTTTAGTCTCTACTTACCTACAAACGCTTTTCAGGAAACTAAATGAGCGATTGCAAAAGCGACGGCCACGTCGTGCAGCCGCCATGATACAAGACTTCCTTGAGCTTTACGCGAAAGTGGACTTGGCTGATCTGGAATTCATCCATGCTAGGGTTTGTTTCAGAAAAATGTGTTGCATATTGTAAAATTTGTAAAGAGATCATTCAAGGCTACAACATTTGTGAGGATGCTGGTCGATGAGTACGTCGAAGAGTCCAAAATGAATGCTGCCAAGTCCTCATCTCGTAGCGATACTCAGAGCTCACGTGATTCAAAAGGTCTGTTTCTTTTCAAATTCAGTACAAGCAGTAAATCTACCAAAATTTTAAATTTAAAATTTACATTTCGCATTTTTGTGGTAGATGTGATTATGCTAGGTTTGGGATACTTTGTCATCTCACAATCAGTCTACAATATGTATGGGCAAAGACGCGAGGTAGGCTGTTGTATCGGTCAGGTTCACTGACTTCACTGCAGTCAGCCCTCCTTACTGCTCACTGCAGCTTCTACTCTCTGGCACCATCCTTTTGCAATGTGTATGTGTGCATATTAATTGGAGATCGATTTGAAGGCCCAGTTCACGTCAAGAATGGTTTCTGAGATTGCTTCCCGAGGAAAACCTGTGACTCCCAAAGATAGCCAAGGGGCGCAGTCGGGTCGCAAAACAGTCAATGTAAGGCGTAATACGAGCAGCAAAACCGGCCTAGCCGACGTGCACGCCTAAGGCGAACGAGTTGCAAAGCGTTGTAAAAGTTGTAGGTGTTGAACCTACAGCTTTTCCAACGATTCGCACCGAGACCCACACCTTGTACGCAGGCAGCTTACTACAGCCAGTTGTATACAAGGGAGCACCCATTCGAACAGCTCGTCCGAATATCCATTCCATGCAGCTTTTTTCGTAACACTCTCTTCCTATCCCTGATTTTTCTTCTTCTTTAAAGCCTTATACTTCTCCGATTACGCCGATTTCCGCGTTTTCTTCGCCACGTTTGCACTATTTTAAACAATCACTTTCATAACTCGTCTAAAACTAGATGACCCAAAATTGGACTGTGCCTTTGAATTGAAATTGATGCCACGCAGCACTGATATTGACAAAGCCGAGTCTCGAAACGTGAACTGTTTGTTTATCAAAGCGAAGCGATGTTTATTTATCTACGAACCACTGTGGTTTTTTTTTNTTTTTTTTTCAAAAATATTTTTTAGGTTCAAAATCAGAAACGGCAGATCGGAAAGCCGAAAGGAAGGGATCTTCGAGCAACCGGGATAACCATAACTACTTTTCCAAACGCGGATCTTCCGGTAGCTTTCGTTTTTTTCAAGTTTTTATCGGCGTCATTTCCATAGGCCGTAGGGTGTTTTCAAAATATCACCTTCCTATCTCAACGTATTTTTGACAGATATGGATGTTCCAGCTAGTTCCAATGCTGTGGATGACATGGCGAGTGCTGAGGAACCTGAGAGTTCAGCTGATGAAGTCAGTCCCGAGCGTGGATATGATAGCAATTGTAAGCTTTAAAGATTATTTTTTCGATTGAAATAAGTCAACCAACTGAATTGCAGCTGATCCCGGTGCTGAGTTTGCAGAAGAAAACCATAGCGATGATTTGCCTCTGGGCCGAACAACAAGCCTATCGGATAGTTTTATCGATTCAATCCCCGTTATAAGAGGCGCTGTTTTACAACAACTTCCAACTGTGATTGATTCGGTTTGATATTGCCTTTTATGCGCTGACTTCTACATTGAAAGGATAGCGGCTCTGAGTTCGGCTTCTACCTCAAATGCTTCCAAACGTGTTTCGCCATCAATATTCGCTTATCTTGGCTTCTTTCTCTCATAACCATGTGCTACTGCGTAAAATGCGAAATTCTGTCAGCCTATTATTATTATTAGCAGTAAATGTCAAGTGAAGTAGTGATGGGTTTTATGTGATGATGTCGTCAGCGCTAGTTATCATCGATATATCAATGTTGACAGCTATAGCTGTTGTCTGGAACAGCCCTTACATTCGCGAATAACAGACTAGTGTTATCGAAAAACCATTGTCATCATTAAAGGGCTCCTAACTGGAAGTAGCTCAACGATCCCGTTGGGGTTTAAGAAGTGGTGCCATCTCGGAGGAGTATTCACCGCTTCTGCCTTCGGGCCCATTGTACTGATATGGAGGGATAACGAACTGACGCGGACTTGCTGGTTCTTCTGCACCTTCTGAGGCATTATCTTCCTTTAACTAGCCTTTTCAGAGTTTAACTTGACCTTCTTGACTTCAGCTCTTGCGGATAAGTGCGTTGAGGTTTGACCTTCTGAGAGGACTCAGTCTCTGGCGTGGGTCCAATCGAATTTCGAGACTATTAAAAAGCCAAATTCATGATCAGCGGGTGAAGCTGTCTGTCAAGTCTAATTCTTACTGAATTCAGGAAGCAGAAACTGAGNCTGAGAGAAATCCACGCATTTTGCATGTGGGGCAGTAGAGGGAATGAGAAAATATTGCCAAGATGGGTTATGGTGTTTCTCGAGGGATATGACTGGTACTCCCAAACATTCTTCTTCTTCATCCGGGGAAAGGCGTCTTCGAAGACGATTTTGGCGTTCGTTAATGACGAAGTTCTGATCTTTATCGACATCGTCCCGTAATCTCATCATTTTGCATTATAACTCACAGAAGCTAATATAGTATGGTAAATCATCGTATTGAGATGGATTTTATGGTTTTTTTCACATTTGAATCATTCATGTAGTAATTTTGGCAATTTTTGGCAGATTTACTATTACCTTAGGGAACGTGCTAGAGGATGAGTTTGAAGAAGGTGAGGGTGGAAGTTACCCGTTGTGGTGTAGCGAGAATCATTCTCCAGCCAGAAATGGCTCTCGGGGCGTCGCAACATAGGAAATTGAAGTGTTCCCGATTGGATAGCCTTAACAATCACTCCTTTAGCCTCCTCAATCGTCCATGGCATGATTCCTAAGTGCATGTTGCTTTAAAATTCTGCTGTATATACTGTTTACAACATGTAGGCATATTGGAAGTAATCTTGCAAAATATTTTGTTTGCTGCTTATTGCTGGGTAGAACTTGGCTTAAAGCGGTCGTTCTTGAGTTGTTGAGAAATACACCTACATTCTATTGACAATGTAGTTCTAGACGGCCTGAATCTGTTACTTGTTAATCATCATGTACAGGACCTTATTTAGTTTGATTTTAGAAATGTAAGCGTAGTTTCTTTCCTTTTTGTTCATTGTCACCACTATGTCTCGATATGGTCGTAATTTACGTTGCAACATATATTGCTAGTGCATTTGTAATCGGTGAGTCTTATCCTAGAATTGAAATATGCATCATATTTGTTTGTTGAATTTTTTTTATGATATCAACCGTGCTTCCATAGTGTCTGTCTTATTTTCCAGCATTTTATACGCAGAAGTTGTGTGTTTAATTGTAATTACGGTAAAATTTATTTGTTCATTGCTTATTCACCCTGCGCTAGTGCTAATCCCATAACTTATAGCATAATCTATACAGCTATATTAGGACCTTGCGAAATAAATGACATATTTCCATGGCAACAGTAGTCAGCAACATAACATTTCTCGTCCCTTGAACTTGAGCTTTTTAGATTCGGCCATCAGCCTTGTTATGCTGTTGTACTTTTTAGGATATAGTGCCAAGTGGCGCACTAACACACACGGAAGTCAGGGATCGAATCCCAGATCGATATCCGCCCAGGCCCATCAAACCTCCCATCATTCCAGGATCGGTTAATTGGTACCCGACTCGTGTGGGAGGATAAAAGCACTGATTTGCGCATCGGCTGACCACCGAAAGTCATTGTATAAGCTACATACGTGCTCAAACCGCCGCTGTGATTCTGCGCGGAAGTCGAATGCGGGGCGCATCCCAGAAACTGGATTGATTAACGCCGCACTTGAAACAAATATTCCTGTAGAGCTAGTGATGTAGTAACTCAGTAAATTTTTAAAAAGCGAGTCAGAATGCGACCAGATACGGTCAAGAAGTACCAAAATCCTAGCCATCTTGTCAATGCTGAATGCCGTGGTGAAGGCCACAATCAAAGGGAGATTCAGCTTTTTTGAACTCGTCAGGTGAGTTATCTGCTCCCAGCTGATGCTCATATCAGTGATTTCTTCGGAATGAATGTAGATGTGCACTTATTGACGTTCTTTAATTATTATTATTAACAGTGCTTCAAAGAAACCATTAATCGTCAGAGCTTGCGGGGCTAATTAGCATCCGATGTACAATGGCTTGAGGTATCGTTTTGTGCCTGGCGGCATGGATTTCCGTGCAGATAAACAAACCTATTTACTCCTTCGAAGTCCCATTCCGTCTGGCTAATAAGGCTTGAGTGAAATGAGTGAGCGATGATCACGGAACGTGACTGACTGACCATCAGCTTTTATTCGGCCTAGGTAATCGTTTTCTCTTCAAAGAATAAGCGAATCTTTAGCATTGCCAATATAATTGGATAGACACAGCCGAATGGCTCAGTAGAAGCGGCAGTACCTCAAACCTAAGTTTATTATGGGGCGAAATGGGATAGGATGTTACAGTACCTCTGCCTCTCGCGGATAGTTAAGGTCCACATGGACAGTGTTCATCGTCAAAAAAAGTAGATTTTGTAGTACTGGTACAGATTATCTATTTCGAATTTGTTTGGATGAACCTGATCATTATGATCATCTGATTGCTGCAGAATTCCAATGTTATCTCTTTTAGAAGCTGGAAAACCGTCATTTCTTCGATACTCTGAATTAAAAACCTAAATTTTTACCCTGCACTGTCAGTTTTCCAGGCCCGCTAACTATTAAACTCGTACTTCTCATGGCAAATAGTAGGCGCTTGAAAACTAGTCAGATATGTCAGATTGATTTCCAGTTTCCAAGAAAATCATAAGCAATCCACATCTTTTGATTTTCTTCGGGTGTTTAGACGAATGGGCTATCCAGTGTAACAAGATCACCACTGAAACAGAATTGGAAAAGAAAACCTCATCTCGAAAACAAAGGTTGGGAAAGTGTTAAGCGTGATAAATTGGCTATACTGATTTGAAACTCCAAAAAAAGGTATTTTGTAGGAAGGTAGATAATATGACATTGATCAACGCCATTCCTTTCGAGTGCCAGTTCCCGTAATTCGCGTTAGGAGGCTCTATCCAGTAACGTTCTGCCATTCCATAAAGTGCACTTTGCAACCCAAATCGTCGACATTTCGGAAAAAAAATCGCTTCGAGATATTAAAGTACCGCTATGTCAATGCTGAATTTCCCCATCAGCAATATTTATATATAATTTCCTTAGATGGAAATAAAAAGCCGGTACGCCTACGCCAGGCTAACTTACCAGGCTTCTCCCCCTCATCTAGTGATGAAGATGTCACCGATAAGGCAATACCCAGCTGCTCACAATCCAGTTCGTCCCACAAGGATAGGCCAAACCCGAGCCCGGATCTATCTTCTTCAATCTATTTTCAAGTGTAGTCCAGTACCCATACCCCCAGAGGGGTGGCCTACCCATCGTCTAGTAGTTCCTGTTGTTCAAAATATTTAGTCTCCGTAAGTTGCTTTGCTAAAGTGCATATTCATTTCCACTTAGGGATGAAAATAGTTATACATTCAATGGGCTTGCATTGGCAAAGCATTTTCAATGAAATATGTAGGACGGACGTCCTTGCTTGGTCAGATGGCATGTCAGCATTGGAAAGCAGGCTGGAATTGTGACGTGCATATACCTAATTAGAAATCGAGGCCGAGGACATAAAGATGAAATTCATTAGGGAGTAATTTGCTATACTACGTAATCACTTGGGTGAAATTCTCTGACATTTTCAATAAAAGCCTTTTCAAAGTAAGAAAAGCCTCAGGAATCTCATCAGAGGTTTTTTCCCGGATTTTGTCTGCCCTTTTCGGAGCAAGGCAATGATGAAGAATTTGCTCGGACATTTCTTTTCTGGTATTCAATATTGCTAACGAAATTCCGAAAGTAATGAGTTCCAGTGACTTTCAGGGTATTTTCTTACCCCCCCCCCCCCCCCCCCCCCCCCCCANCCTTCCCCTAAAAGGCTTCCCCCAAACAACCTCATCCTTTGTTATATTCAGCGTAATTTGTCGCCTTTCTTCTGGACAACACTTCTTGGATAGGCTATTTGGGTGAAGGATAGGGCTTGGGGCGAACTGATCCGAGGCCTCCTTTCAAGGGGGACAGTAGGATCCATTTGCCCTGGCGGAAACTTACCGAAACTGAGTAGAAGGCCCTTCGTAGCTTTGTGTAGCCGTCCTACTTCAAATAACTACTGCTTTGCATCCCTTGTAGTAGTTACTCCTCGAGAACCTTCGCCTAGTCGGAAAATATTTATGTTCGCAAAAGTAGACATGCCCTTACTGCAAATACGCTGTTCATCTTTACGAAGTAATGGCTTCCAGTGTAACCATGGCGCTTCTGGACTTCCGATACAATTTCTTCACATTCCTACTTAATATTGCCTATATTTTTTTTCTACCCCCACTTCTTTTTCTTTATTTCTTTAAATTTTGTTGAAAATAGATGGCAATA